CCCGATCTCACAGATCACAGGTAAGACGCTTATGCCGCTCTATAGTCCAACACAGACACTTTCCCCACTTGAAAAAGTAGCTCCAAGTACCGGATACGACCATTGCAAGATTTGTTATTCTTATATAGGTACTGGTGCCTACATCTTGAGTTGATCTTGGACCTTCATTACGTCTGAACTAGATCTGTCAAGATATTTGGGCTGGTCTCTGAGGATCAATAGATCCTAAGACTCGTTCTCTTATTTCTCTTTACCCTAACCTTTTTCATCCTCTTTCGTTCACTTATATTTCGTATTCATTACGACGTTTTTCAATCAAGACCAAGGAGTGGGAAGTAAGAAAAGGACCCAGTCGGTTCAACAGTCTAACGACTGATAACAATGTTTTGATAATATAAATCGAGCTTGATACTTGCTCCTTGGCCAAGCAACCTCACTTCATCATAATGCGGGGCATTCACTTATTGTTCGCAACGTTGATGTTATTTCTTCTATCATCCGCTCAAACACTCGTTGCTATAAATGGTTTCTCAATATCGGAACCATCTCCTTCCACATCTCCTAGCACAACAAAACCAGAGTCCTCGACATCGAGGAAGGATGAATCGACATCCACGCTATCTACAGCCACATCATTGATCACAAACACAATCGCTATCTCTTCTATTCTATCAGCCTCTTCAACTTCTGGAACAGAGCAGCTTACGGGCAATGCCGAAGTTGCATCAACAGCCACAACGAGTGATCTTCAATCGACTCCAACAGCAGCTTCATCCACAAGCTCTGGTACAAATCGCAATACGCTGATCATCATTCTCGCTTCTGTCCTCGGTACACTCGCTATCATTGTTGTTTCAATTGCTACATATCTTTTTAGGCGATATCGAAGGGAACGTAGTTTCACTGGAAGAGGAGTGACTCCGATAGACGATAGCGAAATCGAATCATGGCGACGCTCTGGGAATGAAAGAAAGGTGTTTATGGGTGAGGACTTGGTATTCGACAAGGAGACTGGAGGTCGAGACTACTTTCAATCCAACACAATACAAATGGCGCACTCTCCAGGTTGGACATGGACTGCTTCTCCTACATCCACTCGAACACGATCTACCTTTTACCCTTCAGGTATCTCAGGATACGTACCTGATACTCCCACTTTCCTCGCTCAGGCTCCGAACGCTAGAGTTGGTCTCACCGACGAAATTATGCCGGGTGCAGAACCATTTATAAAACCAGCGGAACGACATAGATCAAGGTTATCGAAGTCAGGTGGTCATTCACGCACGAAGAGCAGGAGGAGTAGTTTGAGTGCGAGAAGCATGTGGAGTATCAAAAGTGGCAATGGAGGCGAATCAAAAGAATTGAGAGCCAACGACAGGGTAGCAACATGGTACGATCCAGAAGATGACTTTCGAATCCATCGGGATTACAGCCACAACAGAGACTACAATGATTCGCCCATGTCATTTCGAGAAATGACACCAGGCCCGGGGACGCCTGGGCCAGTCACATCATTATCACCAAGACCACCACCACGTGCTGCGTACCCGTCATTCTGGGATAGCGACCGTGAGATTGGGTTGGCCATCTCATAGTATTGGGCCTGGACGCCAGTTATTTTTTTTAAACGCATTGTTCGGGTTACGGGGGGCAGTGGAGTTAGCTTGTTATAAATGATGGAGGATTACTTATATTGATACCAAGGAGGATTTTTTCATGTTGATGGAGAAGGAAACCGTGCTGATCGGTGCAACACTATTGGCACTTGTAGATTGGGAATTTGAAATTCACCACTCGATGAGAGATTTTATTTATGACATGCACAGTCTGGTGACTGAAGCAATAGAAGAAATACAGAGGCATGATATAGCATGCAGATATGACAACTTGAATATAAAATCAATACACAAATAAGCTTTGGCTTCAATTGTTCCAAGTTTCTCAATGCTTCAAATCTGTAGATTGCGCTCACACATCTGAAAAAGTCGAAGTAACGTTGTCCGAGTAGTCTGCTAGCCTCAGCAAAATACCTTGAACTTTCAAGATACAGCGGGCATCAAATTCTACAGCCTCACTAACAATTCAAAGCCATTCCAGTTATGATACCTAGGTCCAGGGTACCTAGGTACCTACCTACTCCTCGAAAGCCACAGTAGTAAAGCTTTCACGTGACTTTGCACGAATTTCGCGTCGGCGCGTTTCCCAGGCTTAAATGCTTCACCGCCTCCCAAACAAGAAATGAATTGCCCAAATGCATTTGCGTAAAGACAAACCCATCAACCAAACTACTATTCCCATCCTCGACGTCACTACCACCGCACATCCCAATTCTTCCTTCCCACGAATACGAATATTTCAACATGCCACCACGAAAGAGCGATGTAGCGAAGCCTGTCGTTGGAGATGAAACTACACCTGTCAAAGAAACGACGGTAGTTCGAGAGGGAATTAGTATCGAGGTTTGTTTTTATAATTACTTTCCTTAGACGGATCGGACTCCAAATTCTTCTCCTCGATTGGAATTGCCTGAATCGGGTTCCATTGACTCTGGGTGACCTCAATTACTTCGATTTCTCTCCTCGCATTCGAGCTACACGTCAAACTAACACATATGGTAATGGACAGGATCTTAGTCTCCCGAAAAGTATCGTAACGCGATTGGCGAAGAGTGTGTTACCGCCTAACACGCAGATTCAGGGAAATGCAATGTTGGCGATGGGGAAGAGCGCAACGATTTTTGTTAATTATTTGGCTACACAGTGAGTAGATTAGGGTTCTTTGGAGATTCGGAGAATTGGGAGGAGCAAAAGCGAATGGAGATTTAGGAAACACTGAAAGCGAAAGTTTAAGAGAAAAACGAAGAATGGAAGCGGGAGAGATCGTGTGAGCAGATTGCTAATGTGATTATGAATGAAATAGTGCAAACGAGAACGCACACAGCCGAAGTGTTAAAACGATAGCGCCGCAAGATGTTTTCAAGGCATTGGATGATATAGAATTTCCTGATTTTAAACCAAGGTTAGAGGCGGAACTTGCGAGTTAGTATTTTATTCCCATATTGAATGGGCATGGGCGTTTTGGGAGGGCAAATCAAGGGGGATACCACATGCTAATTATGAAAAAACGAATATCAGAGTTTATCGAACTACAGAGCGACAAAAGAAATACAAATAGAAAGAAAGTCGCAGCGGATAAGGTGGCTGGAAGTCAAGCAGGGGGTGAAGATGGAGAGGGCGATTCAGAAATGTTGGATCGAGAAGGGGATGGAGAACCAAAGGCTAAAAAGGTTAGGCGAGATGGGAGCAGTGGGGAGACACAAGAAGAACACGATGACGAAATAGATGCAGATGAAGAGCATGATGAGGAGGTGGAGGGGGAGGAAGGCGAGGACGAAGAAGAAGGGGAGGGTGAAGCAAGGGAGGATGATGACGAAGAAGAGAAGTTCGATGTTGAGGAGGCAGAAGAAAAAGAGGTAGATGACGAGGCGCTGGATAATGGGGAGGACAGTGATTGAAGCTAGCAGTTTTGTGTGTGGCCATTGAAGAAGGGTGATTGTAAAATGGAATATCTTATTTGTTAAGGATTGGGATTGGAAGGAAAGCGAAGCGTGCATTTGCAATGATGGAGTTTGGAATATGGATATAGGTTGTAAAGAACAAAAGTCCGCCGGGCACAGCAATATATGATTGTAAATTCATATCCGCCAAGGTTCCTTGAATATAGACTCTATAGCGGAGGGTGGTTCAAAGCAAGAAAAGCTTGCGTTTTAATTGCGGGATAGAGAAAAGACTAGTGTCTAACTGCCTTCCAAAAGGAAAAGGCATGAGGACCTGCAATAAGCTCCTCGAGTGAAGTAATTACCAACCTGCACAAGCAAACTTTTGCATGAATTTTATCAATAAGTCGAATCTAATTGCATGATCTTTCAAAAACATGTATCGGGAAATAAGGCAAGGGCACATGCATTGAGAGTATCTCTACAGGACCTTCCCCAATCACATCTTATTGCCAAGTTAGACATCCATTATAGCTCATCTAAAAACAGTTTATGTTTGAGATATTGCATTCATTATATTGCTAGCCATTTCCAAGATTACAAATACCCTCTACAAATCAATGTATTACCAACAGCTTGTGCCGTGTTTTCAAACGTCAAACTTTCGAAGACGGAGAGGAAGTAGAGAAAGAACATTCTCAACAAGCGGTAAACGTTACCGCAAAGTGAGAAAAGAAAGTCTGCATACAAAAGAAAGCTTTGGGAAGCCCATCCTAATGTCATAGTGCTTAGGAAGCAACAGGCTTTTAGATCCACCTTCCTCCTCCTAATCGCAATGTGACGTTGTGTCTAACATACTTATACACTACGAAGAATGACAATCACCATTCAATCTCCTCGCCGCTATACACCTTTTTTAGCACACATGATCTTGAGTATCGGAGACGAGAGTTTGACGTCGACAAAACGTAGTGTAAGGGGTGAGGGATATCACATCGATAAAACTAACCGTTCAAATAAATCCGATCAGTAATAGTAATAACATCTTTCAAGAACAAAGATAGAAATAAATAGATAGTACGATAAGTTGCGTTGCGATATGCGTGAAGGTGCACGTGAGCGCACACGCTAGTGCTAGCGCACAAACGTATTGCATAGCTCTCGTTGCTCTAGAACCTAGAATAGAATAGATACAATATCAATCAGTGCATTAGACTTCTTATAAAGACGCCATGATCACCACCGAGATGATACCAACAGTTGCGTTGTAGTGATATAAGTATTTACTGTAATTACACTTTCATCAAGCTTAGCGAAGCGAATAAATAGCATGTGGGGTAAGGGGGCTCGAGGGGGGCTAGAGCACACAAGCTAAACGATCAATTCACTAGGAACAGAATACTACCACGAAGCTTAAGTCCAAAGATTCAAATGGGAACATGATGATATAGTTGTATATAATACTTGGGCATAGAAAGTAAGTATCGAATAAAAGTCAAACTGTTTACTCTCCCTTCAGCTTGTAGTTCTTCCCTAATTTGTTTTCTCTCTCTTTACTTCGACCTTGTTCCCCAGTCGTTTGCGTAGAACCATTTTCAAACCCCCAATAGCCAGAAAATATACTCTGTGGCTGCCGAATATCACTAAGTAGTCTTATAAATTCCTCAAAATTTAGAATCCACGATGACACCTGCACATTATTCTGCAGAAAAGAGACAGGAGAGCTGTCTTCCCTGGACAAGCCAAAAATAAACCCAGCAAATGAAACACTACAGGTTAAGACCGATGAAGTGGGCGACCAGAAGAAGTGCAGTATTGGTGTTGAGCGGGCCACGGTTAAGACGGTGTAGACTGAAAGAATGAGGCATATTATCTTGACCAAGGCGGGCTGTTTCGAGCCGAAGCAAACAATTGATGATGTGATGGTTTGATAAGACTGTTCTGGACTATAGTACCGAAGATATCATCCGATACAGAAAAATAAGAGCACGCAGGCATAATCTTATCAGTGAGATCGGACCCAACACAAAACACAGTAGGATTACAAAGACCATGGCGATGTGGTGGAAGATGGGATAACTTCGAGGAAATGCCGGTGAAATTATGAGGAATAAAATCACAACAACTAGTGTATTGAACGTTCTTTGGCGACCTCTATCCTGCCCATGCGTAAGCTCAATAGGTTTAACACAGTCGAGGTGACAATTTTCGCCATTCGATATCGGAATAGAGAATACGAGAGCTAAATCTGGCGAATGAAGCACCCTTTCCTGTCCACACACAGCTTTACATTGCCAGGCAGGTTGTACAATTTCCAGAGCTGCTGCAAGCACATCCATATCCCATAGTACCGGCAGACTCATGGCTGCTACGTCGCGTTTAGCAAATCCGTCTAAGCTAGCATCGCGGTTTTCTCTACAAAAATTCGAATTGATAATATTCTAGAAATGATCAGCAAGGCCTATTGTGGCATATATGCCGTCACATCACATGAGTGTTACTTCCAACTTACTGGTTGTTCTGGAAATGATATACATGCCGTGAAAAGAGCCAATCGATTTGCTTTTGCTGAGGAATCAGCAGCAGTGCTCGATTGTATCCAAGTAGAGGTTCCATATATTACTGCGAGGATAAGACTGAGCAACGTTGGAGCTAGCGTTAACGGGGTAGTTCTTATTTCTGTGTGTCTCAACCAACCCCATAGGGCTTGATAGAGACCCAGTTTTGTAGTTGTAGCTTGTGGTGCCGGATTCACCGGATCGGCGTTCAAATCATCTGCTCCAGAGGAAGGAAGAGATGCGGGGTTGTTCAGAGAAATATCAACTGCGAGAGGTTCACTCGCGGACACAACGAGATCTTGTTCTGCCGAAGCTGAAGGGCGCGATCCTAAATGAGTCGACATCTCAATCGATGCCATCTTAGTATCCTCTGAAAAGATGAGATGAATGAAGCGACCAGATCATGAGAAATGTGAACGGATTTTCCTTCTTCACAATCTCACCGATGAGGCTGAGGAGTAATTTTTGATTGGTGGACAGTACCTAGGTAGGTACTAGGTAAGCCTGGAGGCATGATAACACCCAATTGGAAATCCAGGCTGTGCACCACAGCCACTTCAGGAATACATAATTCTCACTCTACCCATTCGACTGCTGTATGCAATACGCGCTCGAGACTTCTCCAGATAGAACGAAGACTCGCAAGTTCCATTTTCTCTACTCACCCTATTACAAAGACCTAATGACACCCGTTTTTACTCTAATCGTTGCAATTTCGACAGAGTGATGCAGCTCTTACAGCAAACTATTATAAAGGTTTGTGTGTTAGAGTCTTGATTCTTATAATATAGGTCTTGTTGGTATCACCATGGGGATTGTGAAGTCAATATAGTACTATGATTCACACTGTTGTAATATTGCTTGAGGTTCTAAAAGCTAGGGCTACGAAACGTATATGCTATAGTGCCGAGGCACCAGCGCTTGCTAGTGCGGTCACATGATCCATATCCCGACAGTTCTAAAGCCTAAATAAAGTTTATAAAATCTATTCTCCTTCTATAGAATCTAGCTTAAAATGGCCAGAATCTATTCTCCTATCATGGAATCTACCATCCCTCCAACATAGAATCTATTACAGAATCTAAGGGGCATGAAAGTAAATCACCTCTCAATTTTAGGGCATGAAAGTGATTAAATGGCTTTTGGGGGGTATGAGAGTGATTTGCCGTAATCATTTTCGAAGACCATGTATTAGGCGTAGTGTGGATCCTTATATGGATATTCATAGCAGCTTGCGGTCCAAGTCTTTAAAGAGATGAGGAAACCTCCGAGTGGATGGCACCCCAATAACTCAACTTCAAAGCAAAAAAAGTCAAATTTGAAATCACAACAATAAAAGCACCAAAGAGTTGATTCAACACGATCCATTCTTCCATTTGATTCCAAGACCACGTAAGTTACTTGCAACCAACCAACTGATTCTTCTCCCTTTCCCTTCCCCCCTTCGTACCATCTGGTATCTAGAAATCCAGTATATACAATACAACAAATAATCATATAAGCCACCGCTTCCCATCTATCCCTATACCCATATGTATCTACCCCTGTCTCTCAACGAGGCATATTACCAAAATAATTACAACCATCTCCATTTCCTTGACCACAAGTCATCATTTGTTCCACCACCCTGGAAACAATATTAGATAAAATACCATTCGACTCCTCCAAGATATCAGTCGACCTTAGTATATATAAAATGATGTAAAAGCCACCAAATTGGCCCATTCCATTTGATGCATTTTATCAATGACTAGAAAAATAATGCCAATCAATAATAAATAAAACTCCATATTCACCCATCCATTGAGACTCATTAATTCCGGAGCTCTTGGGTGTTCAACAAAGTAAAAATGCTGATGTAAAATCACTACCAGACTGACAAACGCTAAAGCCGCTTGATGAAACAATCTTAAAACCACACTCACCCTCAACATCCACAGATTCATTATGATGAAGAGTTAAGAGTAGCAAATCTCCCCTCGAAAGCCCTCAATCTTTCTTGTTCAATCGTCTTCTGTAATTTTCTCGTTTCACGTACGGCTTCTTCTCTTTCGTTCTGTAATTCCATAACTTCGATCTGGGCGATATTCATACGGCCAACAACTTCCTCCATTTCTCTATCTGCCTCTGCAAGAGCAGCTTCAAGGTTTACAACTTGTTGTCTCAAAACCTCAACTTTTGAATCCTCAGTTACCGACATTCCTTTTCCGGATGTGGTAATAGAAAGACGCGGTACCTTCTTCGCATTTGCGAACAATGGAGACATGGGCGATTTAGGCCCGAATGAACGAGGAGAACGGAGTTCCGACTTCACGCGAAGAAGCTGGATATTGTGACTGTCCTTGATATCACGAATCTCATCTTCATGACGAGCGATTCTGACCTCAGAAATATTCTGAGCAGCCATAAGCTTTTCCTCAAGAGCCCTGAGCTTGGTTTGAAGGAATGTGATCTTTTGCGCATTGGCTTTCTGCTCCTTCTCTCCTCGCTCAATAGCGTCAGCTAGACGCTGTCTAAGAGTGCTGTTTGAAGCAAGTTGCAGTCTGACTTGTCCAGCCAATTCCTCGACTCGTCTGGCTGATTCACGTAGCTCATCTGCCAATTGCATCTCCTCTTGAAGATGTACCTTCTCAGAATCTCTCAAGGATTCCGATTGCTCTCTGACTGCCTCAAGCTCTTGTTTTACAACATCTCTTTCAGTAATTGCATCAGACAAGCTTTTCTCCAACTGCTCCATAGCTCTTGCAGTATCCTCGTCATTAGAGGCTGAGATTTCAAGGGCCTTGATTCGCTCTAAAGAAGATGAGTAAGCCGCTTGAAGACCCCGGTACGATCGCTCAAGTGTCTCGGAGGTTGCGTGTGAGCTGCCGGGTCTAGAATCTGTGCTAGATCGTTTGGTTAATATGTCCTTCTCCTGTAACAAGCTTCGTAGTGAGCCGATTTCCTGTTCAGCGCGATCGAGATCCATCTTCAAACCACCTAGACCTTTTTCGCATTGCCACTTCTGCTCAATTGCTTCATCAGCACGGCGACGAAGGGTATTGATTTCCTCTCTAAGATTTGAAACTTCCTTATCGTATCCTTGCCGCCTCGGGGATTGATTCATGGCACGATCTCTTTCCATTTCCAATTGGCGGATTTTCTTTTCATTTTCACGATTCTGGTGCTCTTGACGTTCAAGCAAACTTTTAAGAGCACGATGTAAAGAATCTCGTTGGAGTTCAATATCCTTTACTCGTTCTGCCAAAGCTTCTCTAGACTCAGCAGTCTTGACGGATGTTGTCCTAGATAAGCCAGGTGATCTAGCGGTTTTGCCAGTGTGTGCGAGAGAGTTGGCCCGTTTCAAGCCACCTAGACCACCACTTAAACCACCGAGTCCACCGATGCCACCAATGCTCATTATGGATGATCTCGACCTGGGTAGATTGCTTATGCTTGTCTTCTTCCGAAAAGGGAGTTTGAACTGGCTCATCTCCATTTGCAGCCTTTGGGCATTGACTAATGCGGTGTTCTCCTTCTGAGAGTTTTCAATTTCTTGATTCATCTTGCTTTGCTCGTAGGTCAAACTTTTCATGTTCTGCAGCTTGCGCTTCGAGTCCTTCGACAACGTGGCCTTGAGCTGAGGCACAATTTTCATCTCTCAAATTGTCACGCTCGTTATGTGAGGTTTCAAGATCTGCTTTGAGTGCAGTCAAAAGATCTTCGAAGTTTTCCCTGATCTGTTTCTCTTCGGACAATTTGCGTCGAAGATCCTCACAAGTTGCCTCCAACTCTTTAAGTCGTCCATTGGCATCCACTGAATTTATAGCTGCAAGATCAACCTAAGCCAATATGTCAGTTGCATTCATGTCTTTTTAAGTTAGAGAAAATTACCTGAGCCGCTCTTTCTTCCAAAGACCGAATTTGTGTTTCGAGTTGCTTTCTTATAGCTCTCTCGTCTTGTAGCTTATCTGTAAGCTCTAATTTGATAGAAGCCTTCTCTTGCTCTGTCTTTCTCTGAATTCGGTCAAGCTCATCCTGCTTAGGATCGGGTTCTCCATATCTGGGAATCACACTTGTTCCAGAATCAGAAAAATAATCACTTGTTCGCTTGCTACTGTTTGTTCCTGAATTTTGGGCCTCGAGCTGTAACCTGTCTACAAGATCTTCCAGATCCATCTCCCTTCGTATGGAAGATGCTAGCTCTTGGCTGATTTCTTTCAATTCTCGCTCCATCTCTTCGACTAGTAAAGGCGGCGGACTAGGTGTCGCTATGGGTATTTGTAGATATGCGTTTTCGAAGTAATGGGCAGCATCTGCATTGGCCTTGGGAATATCGATCGCGGCCGGTGGCGCTTTAGTATGTGTCCTCGAATGGAAGTCTTCAAATTCCGAAAGTTTATGCGGAGATGCATTTGACGACGGTATGGGTGAGTTTGGTGAATAATCTGCCTTATCTTCCGAAAATGTTGTCGTTGAACTCGATGGGGATACGGCACCTCCCCAGCTACTAAAGAAAGAACCAAGTTTCCCCGGTGATTTGGGTTTATGTATAGTTGATGTAGAGTCGTGAGATTCGTGAGTATTGGTTCGCGCCGGAGCATTAGGTATAATATTATGTGGTGGTGTAGCTTTGGATGAGAAAATGGACATGGTAGCAGAACCCGGACGACTTCCTGGACTTGAATCCCCGTACCAATGACCGGTAGATTCGGAATCAGAACTCAATGGCGAATCGCTAACCAATCTTTCATGCCTCGAGGCTCCCGGTAGACGTGTTTGAGACGGGACTAAAAGGTTCGGACTTTTTGGACTAAGAATTTGTTCTTCGTTATCTGTTGGTTGTTCTGGTAGCGTTGGCGTCACTGAAGTCCAAGCGATGTGTTCGCTCGAAAATCTCCTAATTAAGCAGTCTTAGCATCAACATGAAACAGTGAATAAGTTTGATCAGATGTTAGAAATAGTGAATGCCTAGTAAACATACTTTGATGATGGACGTTCTTGTTTCGAAACACTCTTGGAGCTTTTAGAACTTTTGGAGCTCCTGGAACTTCTTATTGAACTTCGGATGGAATTTCTATTGCTAGAACTTTCTGGGGAAAATGGCAAAGCGCTTTTTATATCCGATGGAAATTCGTAAAGTGTTGGACTATCTGCAACATTCGTATACCGAGAATATGGAATATCCGGCTCTGGTAATTCTTCGATAGATGGACTGAAGTATTCCGCCGTGGAGTACCTGGTGGAAAACCTGGTTGCCAAAGGCGAGGCACTTACAGGTAAAGGTTTGCGACGAACGGAATTTACTGACGACGTGGAAGCTGTTGAATATGCGCGCGATCGGGCTGTGGCTGACTGTGTTTGTGAGAACTGCGAATATGTAGGATTCTTTGGTCGAGGATTTGGCCGATGTTGGTTTTCATGTGGATTTGGCTGTGGAATGGCGACCGGGGTAGTTGAGTCCGTGAGATCAGATGGATTCAATTGAGTATTCGAAGCGTAATGAGTCTCAGAATCAGGAGTTGAGGGGTGAGCTTCTGGTTGTATATCTGCGACGGACGCCATTCTTTCTATAAGGCCCAGATGGCAATATCAAAACATTAGGG